TTTCGTCGCGCTGGGATGACGTCAAAGGCGCGATTTTGTCGATCGCGCTTTTGCCGTCCGCGCTTTTGACGGGTCACGGCACAATCACAATATAGAGAACATTGCAATAGTCCGAGCATCACTAAGGCCTGGTTGATTGAGTGCAGGGATTCTTTATCCAGGGAAGGCCACAATTGGCACACACACACAACCTGAAGTTGCAATGAGGCTCTCCTAGTTGTGTGACTGCCACACCTCCTCTTCGACCAGTTGTCATAAGTCCAGGAGAACCCCCAACTCTGGAGAAAGGGAAATATAAACGGAGTTTTTACAGCAGAGTAAAAATAACGATTCTAGGACTTCACCCTGGTTTGTGTGCGTAGGGCAATGTTGCCAATGTAACGGACATCCCTAAACTGATATGATGAATGTATATGTCACTCTAAGCCAGTGTTTCTCAACCTTGGCAACTTGAAGATGTCCGGACTTCAACTCCCAGAATTCCCCAGCCAGCATTCGCTTAGAGAAGGGCTGAAAGCCCTATGAAGCGGTATATAAGTCTAGCTGCTATTGCTATTATTGTTATTGAATGTAACCTAATTCCTTCAAGAGTTTCCCCACAATAATTTTTTGAAATATTCCTCCTGTATCTCTTTTTAAAGTTAGCAGAAAGGAAGAAAGGACAGTCCAACTGTATCCTGATTATCTAGCAAAAAAAATGTATGGCTAATTTATGTTGAAAGCAATGCAGAAAATCATCCATCCCAATATAAAAGCGCCTGCTTTTCTGCAGTGCCAGGACTGGCATAATGCTGAAGAACAGGCACTGGCATGCTCCTGTAGGATGGTGTAGATCAGTGCTTCTCAACCTTGGCTACTTGAAGATGTCTGGACTCCAACTCCCAGAATTCCCCAGCCAGCATTTATTTAACCTGTAGCTTTGCCAACTTTCGTGTTTTTCACAAAATCCACTAGAGCAGGGGTGTCAAACTCATGTTGTCACGACGGCGTCATGTGATGTATCGGGATTTTCCCCCCCTTCTGGGTGTGGGCATGGCCAGCCTGTGCCGGGAGTTTGACAGCCCTGCACTAGAGTCAAACAATCTACATCAGTGTTTCTCAACCTTGGCAACTTGAAGATGTCTGGACTCCAACTCCCAGAATTCCCCAGCCAGCATTCGCTGGCTGGGGAATTCTGGGAGTTGNGGCAAGCCACTCCCATCCGATCACATGGGTGGTAAGCCACTCCCACAAAGGAGGCCACACCCACAGAGTAGGTTCGAACTATTTTTGAAACCCACCACTGCCCCTCTCTAAGCAGTTTATAGAGTCAGCAGGTTACCCCCACCAATCTGGGTGTTCATTTTACTGACCCCGGAAGGATGGAAAGCTCAGTCAACCTTGCGCCGATCAGGATCGAACTGCTGTCAGCCAGCAGAGTTAGCCCACAATACTGCATACTAACCACTGTGCCACCACAGCTCCTAATATATGGAGGTCATTCTCTTTGAATCCACCTTATAAGTTGCTGTGAAGATAAAATACTATTTCACCATCCTACAAAACATCTTTACAGTCACAGTCACATAATCTTTCAGGGACTGGAAGAATTGTAGTAAATAAGAAGGTAAGAAGCATGCTTAGTACATGATCATTTCTGTACCGAAATCCATATTTTAAAGCTGTGGGTATTTCACCGCTACAAGCCCAACATAAAATTAAGCATATATGAATAAATCTGGCCTGGCACTTAATCATTCCTTTTTCATTTGACCTATGGCTGGTTAGTGAGTAACCCCTCTCCAAGATCCTTCAGGGGAGGATACAGAACAACAAGTGGTATCTGCTCCCTTGTCCACCCAAAATGCAAATATCTAGAACAAAAGAGGTGGGGGGAATCCTGTAAGCATTTCCCACCAGCCATGCTAGTTATAAAAAAAGCAGATTTAATTATTTTCTTTGCTTTCACAATGCACAAAAATTGCCGTCTGATCCAGCTGTTAAACTCATCCTATGAGTTTCTTTTTCATTATTGTGGCTCACAGAATTAAACCAAACATCACTTGGGCACAAGCCTCCAAATATATCCTATGTGGGCAATTGATCCAAGGCTAAGCAATTATCTAGTATTCAGATTTATTTATGAGACCCGAGTTTAAAAGAAAAAGGAGCTGAAAATTTAAAAACAGCTGGCCATTTTCTCTATAGATAAAGCAAAGTTACCATACGCTATCTTTACAATGAAGAAAGAGTGTGAATCAATTTGGATCCCCCAAATTAAAAACAGGAACGATACATTCTGATGAATGTACAATCAAGAAGTTTATTCTGAGTACTTTGACTTGTATTAGGTCTCACTTATGATGATTTATCACCTTCATGCTACTTTTCACTCTTGAATGCTTCAATGCCCTCCCTCTGCCTAAGGCACGCATTAACTCTTGCATCTGAGCTGAGGTGTCTCTCTGGCTGTTTGACTGACTTACCTTGAAGTGTTGGTGGGAAATGTCTTTGCAAAGTGGAGCCTTGGGGCAGATTGCTTGGGATTGATGGGGAGATGGAAACAGCCTCAAGAAGGAGTATATCTAATACTTTAATTGACGGTTTCAGATTCACAGTGGCAATTTGAAATTAAAATGACCCACGCCTGGAAATGTTTGCTTTGCAATCGGCACCTGCTGGAATTCAATCAATGTTAGATCATGTTTGGTTGTAAAGCTGTTGCGGAAATTCCCTTGTATTATGGTCAAGTCATCCTTCCCTTCCCAGGCAGGTAACACATAAGGGGCATCAGTTCTTGGTATTCTAGTGTCAGTCCCAAAATCAAGGACTCTAAGCAGCTTAATGGATAACATAGGATGCATAGCAATAGCAATAGCAGTTAGACTTATATACTGCTTCATAGAGCTTTCAGCCCTCTCTAAGCGGTTTACAGAGTCAGCATATTGCCCCCAACNTAAACACACATGTTCTCCATTGGTTCCTAGGTAAAGGGAATTACTGGATGCTTGACCCCAACTGTGAGAAGATGTTTGATAATGGCAACTTCAGAAGGAAGAGAAAGAGACGTTCTGATGCAGCCAGTGGGCCTGGAGTCCATAACAAAATGGGGGACAAAAGTAACAGTTGTCTTGTTCAGCCAAGCCCTGAACCTCGCAGCTTGGGCTCCAGCGCGTTGCAGTGCTCTCTGGGATCTAGGAGTGACTGCAAATCTCCCAGCCTGGACTCTAGCCATTGTTTCTCCACATTCGTCTCGACCATGAACGTTGTGACCCATGGCCGGAATGCTTTCCCCAGGCAGCTTTCTGGTGGGCCGGTATCCGAATTCACAGCCGGGAGGCAGAACGGCCCCGGTTTGAACTCCTGCTCTCCTTCAAATGGCATCCCAGATTCAGCATTTGAACTCGGTTCCCAGTCCCACTCCAGGATGAATTACTATGCAGGGGTTGGTGGGCAGTCGAGCTGGCTCAACAGTCCCGTCCTGAGCACTTTTAGTGTGAACAATCTGATTTATAGCAGAGAAGGGACAGAAGTTTAAAATGATGCTGAAAAGCTGATGCTCCACATCGGCCCCATAAGCAACTGTGGGTCAGCATCTAGTCAGCTTGCCTTATCTAGGCAGCCTTCAGCATTTTCAGTTCTGTTTCGATTGATTAAACGCCACCAAGTCTTGACTCTCAGTGAATAAATATCGATTTTTATCCATGGAGGTCTGTTCCTAAGATGTTTTTAAAGTCTTCAAATGGTGCACTCATTACCAATGTAATTGTGTCCGTCCGCCTGGTCATCCTAGATTTTTCTTTCTCTTCCCCAGAGAGAGAGATCTTCATATAAAGTGTCCAAAAATTGGATAATTCGAACCTGGCCATTTCTGCCTTGACCTCTTTAAATCTGATTTGAGATCCGCTTTCAAATGAGTAGGTTTATCCTGATCCCTTCCCTTTGATTATTTGGCATCAACTCTATTATTTTTTCCCCTTCCTTCTCCAGTTTTCATCCTGCTGTCTTTCATTTTCACTTAAAAATGTCCCTTAAAACAAAAAGTAAACTTCTTAATAGCAGCAAATGCTGAAGGGACTTGACTTAAACCTACTTTCTATTAAGGCATCAACTCAGTTTAGGTCCCCAATATATCATTTTACAAGCTGAAGTGTTTTCTTCAAGCATGATCTGGGTGTCATTCAAATGGTGAGATAGGGAGCTCCAATCTACCGGATACTATCCATCGAAAAAACAGTTTGGATGGCACAGTTCTTAGAGTTCCCACAGAATAATCTCCCATCAGAATATATCATCTGCTAATTAGTGGCAAGAGATGCCAGTGCTGACTTTTCATCACGCACCAAATGTTTTCTTTTTGCTTTATGGATCACTAACTTTTTGTCTTATAACAGCTGCTTTTCTGGAAATTAAATGTAATTACCAACTTGTGAGAGTGGTAAATATTTCTTAACAGTCCATTCATTTTCTCCTACACACACACACACACACACACACACACACACACACACACACACACACACACACCATCTTTATCAACAACCATCTAACCCTTAACATATACTTGAAAGTGCATCCTATTTACTTCAGACTTTTTCCAGGAACTGTGCAAAAATCCCTATAATTTCACTTACTGTCCCAGCACCCAATAAGTTAGTATTTTTCTTTGCAAGCTCAATATTGTGCCTTAACATGTACTAAATTCCTCAGTTGTTTGTTTTTTAAAGAGTGCACGAAACAATGACAGAAATATTTCGGAAATTGTGTATATAAAGGATGTAGACATCAAGTTTAAGAAAGTAGATATATTTTGAGAAATATTGGAGACATTTTTTAGTTTTTTAAATGTATAAATGTATATTAAATCAACGTTACTGACCATAAAGTGAACAAAATAAAATGTTGTTCTAATTTAATTTGTCCCAATTTTTGCTACATTTCTTATTATGTTTTGTGGAATACTTTGTTTCAGGGCTGAAATTCAAATGTTTAAAACCCAGAATCTCATTAATGGCCATAACTGGATCATACAAAAAAAAAAAAAAAAAAGAAGTTACAATGAAAGTTTGAAACTTAAACTTCGGTTATAACCATTCTTACTCTGGAGGAAAACCTGTATCAGGCCAACTTCTAAATCAACATAAAATTGCCCTGGCTGTTTTTCCACTGAATAAAGTCAAGTTGTTATATACCTGGGATTAAATGAAGCCACAAATGGGAATGTTCAAAGAATGGGAAAGACCATTCAACAATTTCATTGTAAATACTTTCTTCTGCCAAGCATTAAGATGCCACTGGACTTTTCTTTAAATAAACATTTAAAGAATTAACTCCATGAAGCTATTGATAACCAAATGGCCTTCACACAAATCATTTAAAAGCTTTAATTTTTATGCAGTGTTTGGGGAGGTTAGTTGTAGTAGAATTGAAAATATTCAGAAAGAAAAAAAGGGATTGCTTTTGCTCATTTTAAAACCATAAAAAGTATAAGCATTTGCTAAGTGGCTTATATTGTGTATAAATCATAAATGGAAAAGAAAAGGCTTAAGGATTTAAATCACCTTATTTATTTATTTTTTTAAAAAAATGATTTATTTACATTTCTCTATTTGCAGGAAATAACAACAAACAAATATTAGGCATATGGAAGCTAAGTGAAGATGAACATCTTCTACTGGGGATTAGCTAGTTATCAATACATACTAGGATGAGGGGATAAATGGGGAATTCATCAAATTTGCAGATGACACCAAGCTGGCAGGAATAGCCAACACTCCAGAAGATAGGCTTAAGATACAGAAGGATCTTGACAAACTTGAACATTGGGCACTAGCTAACAAAATGAAATTCAATGGTGGAAAAAGTAAGGTTCTACATTTAGGCAAGAAAAACAAAATGTACAGGTACAATATAGGTGGTACCTTACTCAATAGTAGTAACTGTGAGAGGGATCTTGGAATCCTGAGCCAGCCGTGTGCAGCAGCTGCCAAAAAAGCCAACACAGTTCTAGGCTGCATAAACAGAGGGACAGAATCAAGATCACGTGAAGGGTTAATACCACTTTATAAGGCCTTGGTAAGGCCACACTTGGAATAGTGCATTGTTCGCCACAATGTGGAAAAGATGTGGAGACTCTAGAAAGAGTGCAGAGAAGAGCAACAAAGATGATTAGGGGACTGGAGACTAAAACATATGAAGAACAGGGGAATGTTGGAGGGGAGAAAGGAAAGTTGGAGGGTGGTGAAAGAAAGGGTGTATGGAGTGTTGAAGTGGTATATTGGTTTTGTATTTTGGGGAGTATTTTTGATAAGGATGGTTGTGTTTATTGCTCAATGTTATATGGCCCCAGTCATGCACAGTATATATGTGACTGTATGAAATGAAAATGAAAATAAAACATATAATAAAAAAGTCTCTAAAAAAACGCCCTCTACAGGAGGAGGCGAGAGAACCACGTGCCTCATCTACATAAGGAATTTTTCGGGTTTTAACCCTTGCTTAACTCTGCTCAAGTGATCATAAAGTCAGACTAAAGGAGGCACGTGGTTCTCCCGCCTCCTACTGTAGAGGGCACATTTTTAGAGGCTTTTTTAAACAGTTAAGCACTAAGCAGAGTTATGTGACTCTGGCAGCAACTAGCTCAGCCTTTTTTCCTTTTAATTTTTTTTTTCTTTTCATCACAACAGTGGTGAGGCTCTTCCTCCTCTGCCTCCCTTGACTGCACGTCACTGGGGTGATAAGAAGGGGAGAACCGTGCTAGCACTCCGACTTCAGTTTCAAGAGACTTCAAGCAGAGTGCATTTAAGCCATAGAAGCTGTTGTAAAAGCAATTCACCCTTCCTGCTGTTGTCCCCAGCATTCACTTTAAGCCAAAAAAGAAAAAAGGTTAAGAAGATGGAAGTGCAAGAAAGTGCTTTTAGAATGGGGTTTTTTTTTCACTGTTTAATGGGAACTTTCTTTGAGGACCTATTAATGTGAGGTTTTATTTATTTATTTTGCAAAATCTCAACAAGTATTTTGCAAGCCTGGAGATAAACCTCTTCTCTGATACTTCAAAGGTGGAGAAGCAGAGCTTTAAGACAGGCTGCAGCAAAACTAAAAGCAGGTTAACAAAATCAGTTCAGGAGACTCTGAATGGGTTCAAAAACTAATCTTTGTTCTACCAGAATGTAGTATGGAAATGATTCTACTTTTCTAACTATTCATCTCTAATGTCGCAGTAGACAGAAGTTCAGTGGGAGCCCGGTTAGCTGTCCATACCTGTCCATTTATCTCCAGATTTCATCCTTCTCCTTTAAAGAAATAACACTTGTGTCCTCTAATGTACACCTGGAGGGTCAAAGGGCAAAGGGATTCCTTTCCCAGTTTAGTTATCTTTAGTTATCTTGGAGTTAGGAGTGCTTTATCATGTTACTGAATAAGAATCTTGCTAACCATGTCTGGAATGCAATCTCCCAGTTAAGAAAAACCTTAAGAAGTTGGAGCTAGAGAAACTGCTGTGGAAGTTGGAGCCACAACTGTATGTATGTAGTTATATATGTATGTGTATTTGTGCTGATAAATAAATAAAGGGAGACTAGTATAGATCTATTTCAAGCTATTTAGCTCTCATCAGCTAGCCATACCCTTACTGGGAATCGAACCTGTGCTGTATTGCATCCTAGGCAGATGTGTTAACCACTAAGCCACAAGGTCCTCCTCCTTTATCAGCT